GTGTGTGTGTGTGTGTGTGTGTGTGTGTGTGTGTGTGTCAAATAGCAAAAGTGAAAAAATTCGAAGAAGCAGAATTCATAAAACATTTTGGAAAACCATGACCGCGCTAAGAAGTGGGCGGAGGATGTTGGGGCGGGGCTTGCACCAGTGTGGTCTAGTTACCAACTGCCCATTGTAAGGGGTGTGTCCGATTTGATTTGAAAAGTGTCCGATTTGGTTTGAAAAGTGTCCGATTTGGTTTGAAAAGTGTCCGATTTGGTTTGAAAAGTGTCCGATTTGGTTTGAAAAGTGTCCGATTTGGTTTGAAGTGTCCGATTTGGTTTGAAAAGTGTCCGATTTGGTTTGAAAAGTGTCCGATTCAGAGTGAAAGTGGATATGAGCCTCTACTATCCACCTCATCAAATCTTTAAGAGCACCTGACTGACAAAACATCATGGAAAACAGGATGGCTGTATGTTCACACTAGCGAAACCTGTATTTTTCATCTGAACTTATATCAGTCACCATTAAAGGCAATTCCCGCGACCACACTTCATAGGTGATACAGTTCAAAAAAAGAATTGCCGTGTGCTTGTTGACTTACTCAAGAAGAGGGAAGCTCGAAAACCGCCCGCAACAAGACCCTCTTTATTGCTATTGTCGTGATCACCGGACGAGCATAAGATGATCAAGATCAATTGTAGTCTGCAAAAGGCGACGATACAGTGAGTGGAGAGGAGAGGGACCAGAAAACGGACGGTGAGAGAGAGCGACTAGTCTGTGGCATTTACATATGAACACCATTCGACGCAGGCCGGCATGGGCCTATTGGGTGCCAATGGGCCTAAAATCGATGCGTTTTGCTTTCTGGGTTGCTAGTTTTCGACTTTTTTGTACAGTACAGCCTCTGCGGGTGCCTACTCTGTTCACCCTGCACAATCCAGAGGTTTAGCCTTAATTTATCGCGAACCGTGCCTTTAAAGGTTCGGGATGAAATCCACAACATAACTCGGAGAATAATGCGAGGTAATTTACTTAGGAAAAAGTAGCACGAGAATATACGAGAATCGAAATATCATCGGACAACACCTTAGCGAAAGACACTCACTACATGAAATAATTGTTTATTCAGCAAGCCGTGGACCAACACATCATAAGAATAATGACACTTTAACACAAGGCAATGCAGTTCTACGACTGTGCAAATTTGAAAAGTACAATTTTTTCGGGTTTCCTACAGTACTTTTAATGAGACTCAGAAAAACGAGAAATCAGAAAAAACACATGCTATCCAGATATGTTGACAATTAGGCGAAAATACTATGTAACGCATAAAAATGATAAAATTCTACTGTTTGCCCTTTCGTGACTCTGCTTTTTGCCAAAATTCGGGATGCCAGTTTTATCAAGAGTTCTTATCGAAGCGTTCCGCAAAAGGTGAGCCCCACCTACGCATTTCGTCCCATGCGTCTCATTCTTCCATCGATTACAGCGCAGTCGCTCATATTCCTTGTATATTTCCCTCTATTCATCAAAGCAGCAAAATAGCACGTCATTATGCAGCACATTTGTGACGCCCTTGAGCTAGAAATTTCAAGGAGCGTCAAAAATTACCGTTTTTTGTGGTATGAAAAAAAGGTTTGAACCTTACTAGGGAGGTCGTTCAGGACGTGGAGCGCTTTTTGAAAACGGTTTTTTGCATGATGTGGGGTCACGTGCATGGAGTACCAAACTGGTGTTCATTTTTCCTGAACGCCTCTGGGAATGCCAAAAATGGAGTGAAAAAGAAGTCCATGGAAACCGACTGTTTTTGAGCCTGAATGGGCTCTAAATCACTCGCAACTTCGGCCAGTTGCTGCCTATAGGGTCCTTATAAAGGTTGTACTGGTATCGATGAGAAAAGTAGTCGCCAATGGGGTCTTACTTGCTCAGCTCTAGTGCCATTTATCCCCAATTTGGAGCCAGTCTTTCTCCCACTGGAGTCGCTATGTACATTCGTTTGAGGGACTTGCAGGGCCATTCTGACGCCAGATTGGGTTGACGTCAAGAATAAGTGTCAGAATCGTGATCAGGACCATCGATTACCCCTATAGGCACCATCGATTACCCTATAGGCACGCTTTCAGCCAAAAAATTTTTTGACTTTCTTAGGTTGTGTATTGGGTTATGCTCTCACTCTGTTGAAGTCGTACTTTTCCAGGTTACCGGAGCCCCATTCATTGGTACGGAGACATAAAACTAACAACAACGATAAACGTCATCAAAAAAAGGACGAAACGGTTATCATTCCTCCAGGTGCATTTGACAAAGTGAAGGAAATCGAATGAGTCTCTTGGAAAGGGAGGACGACATCTTCGTTGAGCAAGCAGTCGCTAGGGGTCGACAAATGTCCAGGATGGTTTTTCACTTGTTCTGCGGCCACCCATGCCCATGCCAAGTATGAATGGACCTTATGAGCACCGAATCCGCGATACGGCTGCCCGGCGCCCCGCCACGTCATCGTTACGTCATCACCGCTCCAAAGGTGTGAGACTCCGGTCATCCATTTGGTCGGCACAACTCGAGTTCTTGAGTTGTGCCGACCAAATGGTCTATCACAACTCAAGAAAGTCAAAAAAATTTTTTGGCTGAAAGTTTGCCTATAGGGGTAATCGATGGTCCTGATCACGATTCTGACACTTATTCTTGACGTCAACCCAATCTGGCGTCAGAATGGCCCTGCAAGTCCCTCAAACGAATGTACATAGCGACTCCAGTGGGAGAAAGACGTGGCTCCAAATTGGAGATAAATGGCACTAGAGCTGAAAGTAAATGCCATAGTCGTGATCAGGGCACCGAATAACATATAAAGCTCAACTTTCAGACAAGTTCTTGCTTAATGGTATGTGAAATCGAAATTGCTGAATAGCACCGACTACGGGGTATAACTATTTAGGATGTGCCTATAAATGGCAGATATCCGAGTAAAATTCATTAACAGACGTATATGGAAGCGACAACAACGGAAAATAAAAAATGCAAAAACGTGCAAGCCGAGGGGAGTCGAACCATCATCCCCCATCCCCACTGTCTGCTTGAGAATCCTCCACGCTATCCACTAGGCCATCCGATCGTTGGCGCAGCTACCACTTCGATTGCTTAAGAGCCCATTCCAACTAGCCGTCGACTCTTAACTACGTGCCACAAGTAAGACCCCATTGGCGACTACTTTTCTCATCGATACCAGTACAACCTTTATAAGGACCCTATAGGCAGCAACTGGCCGAAGTTGCGAGTGATTTAGAGCCCATTCAGGCTCAAAAACAGTCGGTTTCCATGGACTTCTTTTTCACTCCATCACTTTGCATTCCGCAGGTAGGCGTTCAGGAAAAATGAACACCAGTTTGGTACTCCATGCACGTGACCCCACATCATGCAAAAAACCGTTTTCAAAAAGCGCTCCACGTCCTGAACGACCTCCCTAGTTAAGTGCCGTTTGCGACCCAACTAACGTCATCACAGAAGAAAGG